TGAACATTTGGGTGGCATTATGCAAATATTTCCATATAGTGTGGTAGATATGTGGGGGCGTGTTAGAATGAGCCGTTTTAGGGGGGCGTGGCAGAGTCTTAACTTTGATAAAGAATATCTCTTTGGTTTTGAGACTTTAGTCTTTGCAACTTCAGGGATCTTATCTATGCACAATCAGCTTGTAACACTCCAAAGAGAAAGGAAAACTTGAAATCGCATCATATGACCCCTTTAAGTTAAACTAAATGAAAATGAGAAATGTTGCCTTGGCAAAAATAAGTTTAAGTACATTAAGAATGTTTTTTATGGTTTTAGTTAACTTTAATAAAAATTTCACACCCACTAACAGAGCTCTAAGCTCCTCTATTTTGCGGCATTGCACATTACCGTAATACACAATTTCAGTAACATAACAGAAAAAACAGCAATGATGGAGCGAGAATGCCAGCACCTGTCAGTTTCCACAGATATCTGTGGTTTTATCCAGGGAGTCATGCACCAAATCTGATGGCAAGCATTAAAGTGCAATTAAATGAGAAACAAAAAAAGATCAAAAAGCTCAGAGAGTCACTTCAAAATTAAATCCTGAATGACCTAACAGTAAATTAAATCCTGAATGAACTAACACTGCAATACATTTAGTTGAGAAGCAAAAAGACTTAAAATATTAAGTCATGTTTACTGAAAAATTTATCAAAATTAAATGAAATATTTTGTCTTGTTTTAAGTTTAAACTCACTTAATTTGGATTTTTTTTTTTTTTAAGAAAACAAGACTTAACATTTTGAGTCGATTTGCTTCTCAAGTAAATGTATCTTAATTTAAGATTTTTTTACAAAACATGACAAAATAAGTAAAAAGAAATATATACATATATATATATATATATATAAATAAAGTGAAAGTAAGACTGGGGAAAGTCTGCACAGTATCTTCAGAAATTAGTCTTGTTTATCAGTGGTAAGAAACCATTTTAAACAGACATTAGTCATCAATAGGTCTCCAGACAAAAGATCTCAGCAATGATTACATGTTAAAAATACCCAAGAAACAAACCATAGAGAACAATGTGCACTACAAGCTATTAGTGTATATATATGAATACTATATTTCTACATGAAATACTTGAAGGCCTACACATCATTTACTTATGCTATAAAAGAAACAACTCAAACCATCAGGTAAAAGCTGTAGCCGTGAACCAATAAAGGGTTTACGTGATTTCACTTTTGCATGACGCTCTTGTTCCCCTCGTATCCTCCATATTCAAATGAATAATATTTGAATAGGGACACACAGCATCCTTGTTTTGCATTCCGTCATGAATGTCTAAAAACCTCCAAGTGGGCCCTCAACTATAGGTCACAGTAACACCCAACAAAGGCGACAGAGGAGTTTGACACATGGAGTCATTGGGTCAAAGGTTTACTTGTGACGAAAGGAATTTACACCTTTGTTTTGGGTGTGGTGTGGTTTTTGACTAAATACCCCTATTTTATGAGCTCCTAAGCAGGATTGAGCACAAAAAAATGTGGGTGGCAAAAGGCAGAATCACTTTTAAAAACTAGTTTTACTAGATATTTCCATTGTGAAAGACACTTATTAAGATGAAGTCGTTTTTTTGAAGATTTTTGGAGCACATTCTACAAGAAAATACTATTTCAGTTATTCTACATGTTTAAAAATGTCCTGTTTCATGTTTCAAAATGTCACGCTTAATTCAATGTGCTACTTGCCTTTCTTTGTATTCTTTGTGAAATTTAAATTGTATAGACACACCAAAAAATTCATAATAGTTTACATGAGGTTTTAGACTGAATACACATTGTCGATGTGTATAACTGTGAATGATCATGTACTCAGGTGTTTTCATTTGTCTGAAATCAGAAAGTTGCAGACATTCAAAACAAGCTGTATTAGCCTTTTTGAACTCGAAAGGAAGTTTTGAGCTCTGAAAGTTACAGTATGTTTTCATATTACATCAAGCTTGTTTGATTCCTCATGACCCCTTAGCAAAATATAACAAGTACAAATATGAGCTAAATATGACAAGTAGTTCAATGCGCTAATACAAAATGAAACATATGTGAATGGTTGGTGTTACATGAAAGCTCTTCCTGTTTTGAGATACTTATGTAAAGTATTTTCCATTTTCCACTGAAAACATCCTGGGCTTCAGGGCAGCAGTCCACAATGGCATGCTGTTACACCACTAAAACCGCCTGTTTTGCAGCTTGGTGTGCTGCCATCAGTCGAGTCAGCTGAAATGAGAATGTCAGTTCTCTTCACAGTCACGGGTCATTCATTAACATCAGGTGAAGAGTTCACTGAAAAAAATTATGTGTCACTTGTCGTATCACTTGTGTTCATATTGTATGTAAACATTAGGTATGTGACCTTCTATGACCCAAAAAGTTTTTCTTATTAGGTTTTATTTAAATACTGTTTGCACATTAGAAACTAAAAATAATATACTAAATGAAATATACTAAAAATAAAAGTGTATTTTTATTTTATTGTATGTTATATTTTCGTGCCAATCATTGTCTATAAAATGTCCTATGCAATGTTGATATTATAAAATGCTTATTTTTATAAAAGATACTGTATGATGCACATAGAAAATACATTAGCAGTGCCTTTATTTAATAGGCGTTTAATCTAAAAAAAAATTTGAGACTTGGGCACAGAAATCTTTCTATAAACTGACAGTATTTATTTATTTATTAAATTTTTTTACAGCATTTTATGTTTGAACATGTATATCTAAAGATTGTAAACTTAAATTTGCCTGTACGTGCTTTTCTTCTTGTAAGCAGAAAGAAGTTGCTGGAAAAACATTTATGATCTCTCCAAAATGACCTGTGTCATTATTTTTCATGTTTCAGATATGGTGTAATGGAAGCGTTCTTTATTGTCAAAATCAGGTCATTAAAATGAATGCTTACTCATTTCCGTTGAGAAAACATCAAGAGTGAAGATAAATGCCGGCGAAGTGTATAATCGAAATCCCATAAGTGCTTGGAGCTGAGTCGCATAGAAACCATTTAAAGGCTTGTTCTTGATTAACTGTTAAATATAATAAGTTGCCTTTACTTACAATAAGTGAGGAAACCAATTGCTTTAAAATTTCCAAGTAGTGTATTAATTATTAGTTGGCAATGCTTATTTAAATCGTGCTCTGTGTATAATCGAAATCCCGTAAGTGCTTGGAGCTGAGTCGCATAGAAACCATTTAAAGGCTTGTTCTTGATTAACTGTTAAATATAATAAGTTGCCTTTACTTACAATAAGTGAGGAAACCAATTGCTTTAAAATTTCCAAGTAGTGTATTAATTATTAGTTGGCAATGCTTATTTAAATTTGTAAAGAAAACTTGTTGGTCAAGTGCTGTTAACTCAAAATCATTAGTTGGGTTAACTTATTATTAGTGTTCACATTACTAGGAAAATCTTAGGAAAGATTGCCTTAAAATGTTCAAGTACGCTGAACTAAAAAAATCTAACTTAAGACAAAAAGCAACAATCTTAGGTAAAACATTATTTATTACTCATCCATTTTCTTCAGGCACTACAATGTGCCAAACAATGCCACTATAGCACCCATAATTCTAAAAAATTTTCATTAATGTAACAATATGCATTACAACAAATCATGACTGATTAGTAACCCAAAACTGACAATCTTTTGACAAGACACTGAATAGCTGACCTTGTAAAAAAAAAATTAACGTTAGCTTAATTTGAGCAATTTAAGAATATGTTTAACAAAAATAGGTATACCAGCGTTCTAAAACTTTATGAATGTTCATGACATTCCAAACCTGTAAGACTTTGGTTAGACTTTGAAACACAAATGAAGATATTTTTAATGAAATCTGAGAGATTTCTGTCCTTCCATTAAAAGTCCAGGTAACCAAAACTTAAAAGATCCAAAAAGGTTATAAAGGCATTGTAAAAACGGATCAATTTGATTTGAGCCTATTAATATGACCTTCTTGGATCTTTTAAGTTATGGTTACCTGGATTTTTAATGTAGTGGCAGAAACCTCTGGTGTGTTTAAAAATATCATATAATATTTCAAAAATTAACCTAAGTCTTTTGGGTTTGGAAAAACATGAGGGTGAACAATTGATGACAACTGACATTTTTGGGTGAATTATACCTTTAAAGGGGTCATATGATGCAATTTCAATTTTTCCTTTCTCTTTGGAGTTTTACAAGCTCGTGGTGCATAAAGAAGATCTGTAAAGTTGCAAAGACTAAAGTCTCAAATCCAAAGAGATATTCTTTATAAAAGTTAAGAGTCAACCACGCCTACCTAAAACGGCTTGTTCTAACACGCCCCAACATACCTACGTCGCTCTGTGGGAAGATTTGCATAACACCTTGTAAAAAAAAAATTAACGTTAGCTTAATTTGAGCAATTTAAGAATATGTTTAACAAAAATAGGTATACCAGCGTTCTAAAACTTTATGAATGTTCATGACATTCCAAACCTGTAAGACTTTGGTTAGACTTTGAAACACAAATGAAGATATTTTTAATGAAATCTGAGAGATTTCTGTCCTTCCATTAAAAGTCCAGGTAACCAAAACTTAAAAGATCCAAAAAGGTTATAAAGGCATTGTAAAAACGAATCAATTTGATTTGAGCCTATTAATATGACCTTCTTGGATCTTTTAAGTTATGGTTACCTGGATTTTTAATGTAGTGGCAGAAACCTCTGGTGTGTTTAAAAATATCATATAATATTTCAAAAATTAACCTAAGTCTTTTGGGTTTGGAAAAACATGAGGGTGAACAATTGATGACAACTGATATTTTTGGGTGAATTATACCTTTAAAGGGGTCATATGATGCAATTTCAATTTTTCCTTTAAACACAAATTAAGATATTTTTTAATGAAGGTTAAATAGGTTTCTATCTCTCCTTTGAAAGTCCAGGTAACCAAAACTTAAAAGATCCAAAAAGGTTATAAAGGCATTGTAAAAACGAATCAATTTGATTTGAGCCTATTAATATGACCTTCTTGGATCTTTTAAGTTATGGTTACCTGGATTTTTAATGTAGTGGCAGAAACCTCTGGTGTGTTTAAAAATATCATATAATATTTCAAAAAGTAACCTAAGACTTTTGGGTTTGGAAAAACATGAGGGTGAACAATTGATGACAACTGACATTTTTGGGTGAATTATACCTTTAAAGGGGTCATATGATGCAATTTCAATTTTTCCTTTCTCTTTGGAGATGTACGCGTTTCAGAAAGGTGTGGCATAGAGGAGAAACAATAATGTACAGTATGTGGAAAATAATGTGATTTTTGAACCTTAAACCGCATAAACACATTTCATTACACCAAATACTTACTTATTGGTTACTTCAATCTATTGAGTTGAATAACTTTCTGTGCTAAAAAGTTGTCATTACTTAGTTATAAACTTTTTCAAAATAAGTTATAAGCACTTAATTTTATTAGTAGGATCATCAGTTACATTTTATAGATTTGGCTGTGTTGTGCTCTGCAGTTGAGGCCCAGGGTGTGTTGCTTACTCAGGAGAAACTTTCTGCTTAGTGTTCATTTCAGTTTCTGCACAGGACATGGCCAGAAGGAAAAGCTAACTATAAAACCTTACAGGACTCATGGGAATGTGTTTGGACTGCAGTTTGTGTTTCCTTGCATCAAGAACATTTCTCCTTCCATAAAAAAGATGACATAGGTCTTCACCGATAGCCTCGTGGGCAGCGCGTCGACATGTAGCGCCATTGCGCTTCGGGCATCCCGTGTTCGAGTCCCGGCTTGTGGACCTTTCCCGATCCCATCCCCCCTCTCTCTCCCACTTTGCTTCCTGTCTCACTACTGTCCTATCAATAAAAGGCAAAAACGCCAAAAATAAGTCTTTAAAAAAAATAAAATAAAAGATGACATAGAAAAAAATCAGTTTTAAGAACTTCATATCAACCATTTCAATCCATAAAAGACTAGGTTCTTCTCAAATCCTGAAGTTAGATGGCAGGGAGGGCTACAGTGGGCCGAATGTCCCCAAGTATGGTCATTATTGTGTGAAAGTCGAGTTCTCATTTTTCCCTCGGCGCTCTTATGACTCGCATTACGGCTGATCCTTTTAGTTCAGCACTCACAGGGGCCGGCCAGTCAGTATACTTAAGGTGCCAAAAAAAACAAACTCTCAGACTGTTATATATAGGGAACATTCTGTCTCGAATTGTTTTTAACAACAGGTCATGTCTAGAATGCCATCGCAATGGCACCGTTGTGAAGCTTGTTTGTTGGTAAACAAATGAACAGCAAGAAACGCAGCTTGGTCGAGTGCCAAGTCTGCTGAAGAATTCGAGAAGCACAAGGCGACCACAGAGGGCCGGTTACCTAATGCAGCATTGGGACACTTCAACGTCATGCCACAATCATTTGGGTAATTCAGTTACTGGGCTGTTTACTTGCAGCTTGATTTTGGAGGAACTTACAAAGTGGCATTTGTCCTTGAAAAGCACTGCAGTGCGCAAATAGGAAACAAAAATGAAAAATGTGATCATTTTAATATTAGTATAGGAAATTATGATCCGCACTCACGAGAACAATCTTCTTTTTTCTTTTATTTTACATTCATTACTGATGGGAAAAGACACAAACGTTTCGGCTCAAAGCCTTCCTCAGTGTGTAAAGCAATTCAATCCCTCCACCCACTTTTCAAATCACTAATTATATTGACGTCAACATTAATTAGCCAATGTTCAAAAAATAGATAAGCCCATTAAAAAACAACGAACATTTTCAGTAAATTGTTCCCTGACATACAATGGGCATAGTAATATAATAAAATCAATCATTCATAAATATTGGTACATATTATCATCTGATGAATCTCTAAATGAGAAATTTCAATATCGTCCATCATTCACTTTTAAAAGATCACGAAATCTATCAGACATTTTAATATTAATAATTTTTCCTGGACAGCAATGTGAGGGGTGAATAAGAAAAATTAAAAGTGAATGAAGACTTGGTGGTTTACCCAAAAATTTAAGTTCTGTCATAATTTACTCACCCTTGTGTTTTTTCTAACCTGTATTACATTCTTTATCTGTTCTGTGGAACACGGAAGAAAAAAAAAGATATTTTGAAAAATGTTTCAACTGTTTGTGTCCATGTAATGAAAGTCAACGGGGTCCAAAACAAAACACATTTTTCAAAATCATTTCTAATGTGCTCCAGAGAAAAAAAGTAAAATGAGGACAGAACTTTCATTTTTGGATGAACTGTCCATTTAAGTACCAAATTGTGCTTTGATTTGGCAATCAAATGTCAAAGATTTCAGTATGAACTCAAACAAAAGACCAAATTAGGCTACCGTTCAAAAGTTTGGGGTCAGTAAGATAAGTCTCTCATGCACACCAAGGCTGCATTTATTTGATCAAAAATACAGTAAAAATAGTAATATTGTTTGTGAAACATTATTACAATTTAAAATATTACGGTAAATATTCTTGTAATTTAATTTAAAATGTAATTTATTTAAGTGATAGCAAAGCTGAATCAGCATCATTACTCCAGTCTTCAGTGTCACATGATCCTTCAGAAATCATTCTAATGTGCTGATTTGCTGCTCAAGAAACATTTCTTATTATCATCAATGTTGAAAACAGTTGTGCTGCTTAATAGTTTTGTGGAAACCATGATGCTTTTTTTCAAGATTCTTTGATTAATAGAAAGTTCTAAAAGAACAGCATTTATTTGATATAGAAATCTTTTGTAACATTACATAACATAAATGTCTTTACTGTCACTTTTGATCAATTTATGGACCTTTTCTGAATAAATGTATCAATTTCATAAAAACAAAAAAATTCTACTGACCCCAAATTTTGAACGGTACTGTATCTGAGCTATGCTATCTACAGTACATTCATTTTAGTAGTGGTGTTTCTTCAACTACCTAGCAATGCCCTGAAAACCACTCAGAACATCTTAACAACCACACAGCATTGCCATTACAACCACCTAAAACACCTTTAGTTTCCTTGGAGAACAAATATATGACAGTCAAATAGTGTCAATGTAGGGCAAACATTACCAACCAAGCCCTAATATTTAAGCAGTTATTGAAATTGTCTAGGAGGGAAAATACCATCTAATTGTTTACAAATCATTTAGTCAGAAAATAAAAAATCATGTGAAAAACAACAATATTTACCAGACCATGTCAACAGCCTGATCTGCTGAAATAGAAAGGAATGCCAAACTGGATTTATGCAGTTTGTTTCCCAGCTGAACGGAGAGGTTTGCCGCTCAGCACATTTTGAATCTGTTAATAAGCTACTGTGGAGCTGAAGACTATCATGAACTCTATCATGAGATTTATATTAAATCTTGGGAAATCTAAGTGCCATTTTAGAAAGCCACTTTTATGTTTTAAAACACAAAACATGACAACAGATGCATACAAAAAAAAAAAAAAACATCTCAATGCAGCCTTTCTATTATGCTATACTCAAAATAGCAAGCATAGCTGGTGGTTTTGTGGTTCTGTTCAATTCTCTTTCATACTTAATATAATTGTATCACTTGACCTTCTCCAGTTCCATTTACAGTACACTCATACTGTTGATTTTCTTCTCATGTTTAGTAACGCAATGTCTTGTAATGTAAGAATGATCCTCAAATAGATTATTTAGCTGATTGTTACCCTTGTTGTGTTTCAGGTACTGAGTCTTGAGGTCTATCTGTGGCATTTTAAGGTGCATGTTTTTATCTCATGAGTTCATATAATGAGTGTTTTTGTGATGTTGTCAACAGTTTAAGACAATGGCAATTAGCTCTCCATGTACACCACTGTTCAAAAGTTTAGGGTTGGTAAGATTTATTAATGTTTTAGAAAGAAGTCTCTTATGCTTACCAAGGCTGCATTTATTTGATCAAAAATACAGTAAAAACAGTGATATTGTGGAAAAAGTAATACAATTTAAAAGAACTGTTTTCTATTTTAATAAAATTTAAAATTTATTTTCTGTATATAATAGTTAGGAATAGTTCACCAAAACATTTTCAGCATCATTACTCCAGTCTTCAGTGTCACATGATCATTCAGAAATCATTCTAATATACTGTGATACATTTTCTATTCATCAGGATTTTTTGATGAATAGAAAGTTCAAAAGAACATTTATTTGAAATATACATTTTTATAACATAACAAATGTCTTTACTGTCACTTTTGATCAATTTAATGTGCCCTTGCTGAAGTGTTAATTTCTTAAAATAAATAAATAAAATTAAACTTTTGAACAGTAGTGTACAATGCTTATTGAAATATTAATGAGATAGAGTACATAATATTTAAAATAACTGTGAAATAAGAGGAAAATTGCATGTAAATCTTTTTAGAGAATTGTTAAAATGAGCAAGTAATAGCAACTTGACAGACTCTGTCATTGTTTGTTCTGCAAACACCTAATTTTTAGCAATGTAAAGTATGAAATAGAAATGTGCGATAACGCATAATTTTTGATGGCCCTGTTTTTTGAACTTCATTTATTCTAGTGAAACATGAGCCATATGATACACTTAAAGGATTAGTTCACCCAAAAATGAAAATAAGGCTGCGTTTTACTCACCCCTGAGGCATCCTAGGTGTATATGACTTTCTTCTTTCAGACGAATCCAGTCGGAGTTATATTAAAAATTGTCTTTGATCTTTCAAGCTCTATCATTGCAGTCAGCGGGTGTTGCATTGCTTCAGTCCAAAAGAAGTTAAATAAAAAGCGGCTGGTTAGAAGTATTCATGGCTCATTTCATCCACAAAAAGTAAACCTGCATATGCTGCTTTAGATGCTGTAGCTGCACCAGTAATAACCCTCTAAAATAGACAGATGAGTGAGAACAGAACAATCTATACTACTGAGTCACAGTGTTTTACTCAGCTTTCTTCACTGAGGAGATGAATGAGTCTGTACTCTACTGAGACCTACCATGTAGTATCCTGGAAGCAGTTTTTGCAGGAACTCTGCCTCCTTGTGCTGGACGGTTTTGATGATGAACTCATCATCGCTGGTCAGGTAGAAGAGGGAGCTGCTGGCGCCCGGATTAGACAACTCAATCAGGGGCTCTTTACAAATGGAATACTGCAGGATCACAACAAAAACAATCCATTAAAACCTGAAATATTATGAGTGTTTAAATAGAGCAGAACAGTACTGGCCATGAAGTAAAATTTAATTAAATTACAATTAAATAAAAAATAAAAATAGCATATAAATAATTAATATATATATATACTATTTTTATTTACTTATTTTTTAATTTTTTTATATATATATGTGACCCTGGACCACAAAACCAGTCATACGGGTCAATTTTTCGAAATTGAGGTTTATACATCATCTGAAATTATAAGTTAAAAATAAATTATAATTATAAATTATAATAATAATTAAAAGTTTTGATATATTTACAGTAGGAAATTTACAAAATATCTTCATGGAACATGATCTTTACTTAATGTCCTAATGATTTTTGGCATTAAAAAAAATCAATAATTTTGACCCATACAATGTATTTTTGGCTATTGCTACAAATATATCCCAGCGACTTAAGACTGGTTTTGTGGTCCAGGGTCACATATGTAGTTTTTTTCAATTGTACAGTCTTTTTTATTAGATTCTATTTATTTATTATCTATCTATCTATTTATTTATTATTAATAATTATGTCAATGTTTAATTATGTCCCTATGAAGAAAATTAATGGGAGCCAAGGGCATCTGAAATGCACAAGACTTCAGAAAAACAGTGTATGCATGCAATTTATAATGAGGTACTCTGGGACCTTTACAAAAGAGCATCTATTTTTACCTGTTTTAAATATATGCTTCAAAACACTTCTAATCACCAATTCATATTTATGTTAAACTGGCAACAAAGAGTAGCTAAACCCTAAAGAAAGGAGTTACTCTCATAACACATGACTTATAAAACATCACCAAATTGACTGGCTGCAGTATCTGAATGTGTTTCCCAAAAACAGTTTGCCTTACACACTGAAAGATCAGCTGATTACTGCCTGGAAGTCATGTGGTTTAATTGGGCTCGCATAAAAACCCCCAAACATTATGAGGTCTTAAAGCAAACATTACTGGCTTTTCTGGCAGGGTTCCCTGAGGAGGCAGCCGGAGGACAGTGTTGAACCGAGGCCAGACACTAATATTCAAAGCCTGCCTAATGAAAGTCAACAGTCACGTTGTACTTCCAGCCCAAACACATTTTTTCAATTGTACAGTCTTTTTTATTAGATTCTATTTATTTATTATCTATCTATTTATTTATTATTAATATTTATGTCAATGTTTAATTATGTCCCTATGAAGAAAATGAATGGGAGCCAAGGGCATCTGAAATGCACAAGACTTCAGAAAA